AACTTGCCATCCTGCACGGTAAATTCTATGTCCTGCATATCTCTATAGTGTGTTTCGAGTTTTTCACACACTTTACAAAGTTCACGATAAACATCCGGTATTAGTTTTTCCATGGTGCTTTCTGAGGTTCCATTGACCGAAAGAGGGGTATAAACGCCAGAAACCACGTCTTCTCCTTGAGCATTGACTAAAAACTCACCAAAACATCTTTTTTCTCCCGTTGAAGGGTTACGTGTAAATATCACGCCAGTAGCAGAATTGTTATTTAAGTTTCCAAACACCATTGCTTGCACATTCACTGCAGTGCCAAGATCCTCGGAAATATTATGTATTCGTCTGTAAGAAACTGCTCTGTCATTTTTCCAAGATGCAAACACTGCATCTACAGAGCTTAACAACTGCTCTTCAACATTTTGTGGAAAATGTTTACCCGTGTTTTTATGCACTATATCTTTAAAATCGTGCACTATCCTTTTTAAGGTACTCACATCAAGATCAGCTAAACTTTTTACTCTATTTTCACGTTGTGCATCATCAATAACACTTTGAAATAAATGGTGATCCAATTGTAGTACAACATTGGAATACATAGTGATAAAACGACAATAGCTATCGTAAGCAAAACGTTCACCACTTTTTTGCGCAAGCCCAACAACAGTTTCATCATTTAGCCCAACATTTAAAATAGTATCAAGCATACCTGGCATTGAATTGACACTACCGGAACGTATTGACACTAACAGCGGATTGCTTGGATTGCCAAATTTACGACCAATATCATCTTCAAGCATCACCATATGTTCTTTAATTTTATCATCAGGTAATTTTTTGTGCTGATAGTACATCTTACAAGCAAGAGTGGAGATCGTGAAACCAGGAGGAACGGGAATACCCATGTTACACATTTCTGCTAAATTGGCCCCCTTCCCTCCTAACAGATTTTTCATTTCTGCATTGCCTTCACATTTATTTTGACTGAAGTAATATATTAACTTTCCTTCCATTATTTTTTGATAGCGATAAATCTTGCAATTTAATTTATGTTACTTGTTCACGTTATATTTTGCAAATAAAACCTCTCAATAGACCTATTTTATGCTATAATAAAGTTTTTATATGTACAAATAAAATGACAACTGAAATAAAAGTAGAAATAAAAAAGTTACCACATGGAGAGTTGCCATGTTATGCAACTGTAGGAAGTGCTGGTATGGATCTGTATGCTGCAGTGGATGCTCCTATTATCTTAAGACCACTAGAGAGATTTTTGGTGCCTACTGGAATTATAATCGCAATACCCAATGGATTCGAGGGACAAGTTAGACCACGTTCAGGTTTAACAGCAAAACATGGAATCGCAGTACTAAACTCTCCTGGCACCATAGACTCAGATTATCGTGGCGAGGTTAAAGTGTGCCTTATTAACCTCAGTGATCAATCGTATGAAATAAAAAAAGGCGACAGAATTGCACAAATTCTTATTACTCCTGTACCCAAAATAATTTGGCATAGCGTAGAAGAGTTCACTATTGATGAAACTGACCGCGATACAGGCGGCTTTGGTTCAAGTGGTAGGTAGTTTTATTAAAATAAATTGATTAAAATTTAAATATATGGTATTATTAATATCATATATTTTAATTTGAGTAACAATGACAACAGAAGAAAGATTACACGCCCTTAATACTGATTCTTATCTCGATAAGGACAGTGTGTTTAAAAGAATGCAGGATGCGATTGGCATAAAATTATCAGATGTAAATTCCCCGTTTAAATTAATAAATTTATACTATAAAGATTCACTATATGCAGACGTAGCAACATTTGAGAAGTGTACTCTATTACATGTAGCCACTTTATTTAATTGTCATAGACTAGCAGGTGATCTTATAGAAATAGGAGCGGATGTTAACTAGATGCACGTGGTCGCACTCCTTTACACTATGCTGCCATACAAGGCCATATAGAAGTGGCAAAAGTCCTCATTAACAAAGGAGCATGTATTGTTTCACAGGACTGCTCAAATAGAACTCCTTATTATTATGCACTTAAATATAATCATCCAGAAATCGCAAGTCTCATAGACGATCATATAAAATCCACAAAATTCTTAACAGATAAAGGTGCAGATCGATCATGTCCTCCGGCATACATTATTGAACAATCCAAACAGGAAGCTAAAGACGCTGCTTTTATTGCGGTAATGATAGTCGCTGGTGTAACTCCAATAGTCCTTACTAAGACTACTGAATTACCCGTAACTATAATAATTTTAGCAACTATAGCATCTATGCTTATAATTGGTGGTATTGCTTACAAGCTTGAATTTATGCGGGCAAAACATGAACTTAGTAGCAAATTAGGTGAAGTGAAATTAAATGATGCACCCTCTTGTTCACAACAACCAACTTAAACTAACCGCAGGTTTTGGTTCAAGTGGTAGATAATTATTTTATTTGTAAAATATATTAATTATTTTATAATAATTACTTATTAGTACATTTTTATTAAAATAAAATGAAATATTTAAGAATAATATTACAAAAACTTAATAGTAGCACAGACCTGAGTAAGAAAGATGTGATTGAAAAAATGTTGAATGCATTGAAGGCAAATAATCCTAACTTGAAATTATCAGGTGTAAATGACCGATTTACATTGGAAGTTACTAACCGTGACGCTCTACTATCTGAAGAAGAAGCAACGTTTGAGGATTGTACTCTATTACATGTAGCCGCTTTATTCAATTGTCATAGACTAGCAAAACTTCTTATAGAAAAAGGAGCGGATCTTAACTCAAAAGATGCACGTGGTCGTACACCGTTGCACTATGCTACCATGCATGGTAGTAGAAAAGTAACAAAAGTTCTCGTTAACGAAGGAGCAGATGTCTATTCACAGGACTTTTTAGAAAAAACCCCTTTGTACTATGAATTTACAAGTAAGTATCTATACACCGAAAGGCCCTTAACCTATTCTCCAAAAACTGCAAAACTCTTATTAAATAAAGGTGCAGATCAATCATATATTCGTACAATGAATCCCAACAAAGCAAACAAACCTTTTGCTATAATTTGTAAATTCACTGCAGCCATAGGAGTTGTGGTGGCATTAGGCTTGGCATGGTATATGCTACCACGCATACTATTTGCTGATCCATATATCTTGGAAGTACTACTTCTAACCTTCGTTACAATTGCATCAATGATAGTTGGTGCTTCTGTAATATGTGGTGCTGTTTGCGGAACTATGTATATGTTGGCAAAACGTGCATTTAGTAGCACATTAAAAGTAACAGAAATCCTCGTTAACAAAAAAGCAGATATCTATTCACAGGACCTTGATCAAAAAAACCCTTCGTACTCTGAATCTACAGATAAGTATCCAAAAACCTCAAGACTCTCAATGAATCCCGACAAAGCAAACAAACCTTTTGCTACGATTTGTAAATTCACTGGAGCCATAGGAGTTATGATGACATTAGGCTTTTGGTGGAAATTCCTACCATTTAATGAGCCATATATGAATGATCCATATGTAATAGGAACAGTATTTCTAACCTTCGTTACAATTGCATCAATGATAGTTAGTGCTTCTGTAATATGTGGTGCTGTTTGCGGAACTATGTATATGTTGGCAAAACGTACATTTAGTAGCAAATTAGATGAAGTGAGCTGTGATGCCACCTTTCTTTCACAACAACCAGCTAACGGATGAAACTGACTGCAGGCTTTGGTTCAAGTGATTGATTAAAACAAGTTGATTAAAATTTTAATATATGGTATTATTAATACCATATATTTTAATGAGAGTTACAATGACACAATACATCAATATGATCGAAAAGGATCTGAATGAGAATGGCATAGATAAAAGAATAAGAGATACTGTAGAAGAGCTAAAAAAACTCAATAGCAACCCAGATCTAAATGAGAAGAATGTGATCAAATTGATGAGTGAATTTGTACCTTTCATTACGAAATCATCAGGTGTGAACTACCAATATAATGGCCCTATAGCTTTTGGCCTTTACACCTTTCCTGCATTTTGTACTTTATTGCATATAGCGGCCAGATTTAACTATGATAGAATAACAGATTGTCTGATAAAAGCAGGAGCGGATGTTAACCCAGAAGATGCAGTGCTGTGCACTCCTTTACAATATGCTGCTATAAATGGCAATATAGAAGTAGTAAAAGTCCTCATTGACAACGGAGCAGATGTCAATACACCTAATCAATGGGGAAAAACTCCCTTAGAACATGCACTTGAAGAAGACCATCTAAAAGTTGCAGAGCTTCTAATAAGTAAAGGCGCAAATCAATCATGTGTTCCGGCATACATTAATAAAAGAACTCACGAGAAAGGTAAAGCACCTGCTTTCATTGTGGCAGGCATATCAGCTATTGTAATTCAACAAGTCCTTTTTCATAACACTGAATTATCTAAATATGCAATAATTGGGGCAACTATAGCATCTATGATTTTAGCGGGTGGTATTGTCTACGGAATTGCATATATGTGGTCAAAACATGAACTTAGTAGCACATTAAAGGAAGTGAAAGTAGATGATGGATCCTCAGCTGAGAAATTTAAGTTACACATTGATTAAAATTTTAATATATGGTATTATTAATATCATATATTTTAATTGTAATTACAATGAAAAGAACAAAAACAAGAAAAAAAGTATTACCAAGCCTTGGCCAAAATCTGAGTGAGGATGGTGTAGATATAAAAAAAGAATTACAAGAACTTAATGATCGCTCAGATCTAAATAAGGACAATGTGATTGAAATGATGAGTAAAATTTTATCTGTTATGAATTCACCAGATGTGAATTACCAGCATCATAATGTTATAGATCTTGGCCTTCACGGTTGTACTTTATTGCATATAGCAGCCAGATTTGACTATTATAGAATAGCAGGTTTGCTTATAGAAGCAGGAGCAAAGGTCGACTCAAAAGATATGTTAGGGTGTACTCCTTTACACTATGCTGCCATGAACGGTGACAATATAGAAGTAGCAAAAGTCCTTATTGCAAATGGAGCAAATGTCAATGAACAGGATATATATAGAAGAAGACCTTTGTATTATGCACTTGACAATGGTTATCGAGAAGTTGCAAAGTTCCTAATATCTAAAGGTGCACAGATAAATAATAAAGAAGTATTACAAGCTCTCAATGATCGCCCAGACCTAAATAAGGGCAATGTGATTAAAATGATGCAGAAATATATACCACATCTTGTGAAAGATTCACCAGATGTGAACTATTCGCATCACAAGATTATGTATTATGGCAGCTTTAAACCCATTTTTATTCATTGTACTTTATTACATATGGCAGCCGAATATAATTGTCCTAGACTAGCAGGTTATCTTATAGAAATAGGAGCGGATGTTAACTTAAAAGATGCACGTGATCGCACTCCTTTACAAGTTGCATTTGAAAATGATGATCTAGAAACTGCAACGCTTTTAATAGCTAACGGTGCAGATCGAGCATGTGTTCCGGCATACATTACTAAAAGATCTCATTCAGAAGGTGAAATAATTGCTATCATTACGGTGATCTTGGCTGCTACAGTAACTGCAATAGTTCTTGCTGATAAAACTGAATTATCTGCATTAGCAATCACAGGAGCAACTATAGCATCCATGCTTATAGTGAGTGTTATTGCCTACGGGCTTGCATATATGTGGTCAAAATATACGCTCAATAGCATGTTAAATCAAGTAAAATGTGATAACTCTCTTTCACCACAACCAACCAAGTAAATTTTATTTGATTAATTTTTTAATATATGTATTATTAATGTAATATATATGTTTTAATTAGAATGACAATAGAACAAAGATTACTAACCCTCAATAGCAACCCAGATCTCAATGAAAAGAATGTGATTGAATTGATGTGTGAAATTTTACATATTATGAATTCATCAAAGGTGAACCATCGGCATCCTCATATTATAGACCTCGGCTCTCACGTCTTTGCTCAAGGCTGTACTTTATTACATATAGCAACTGCACTTAATTGTGATAGAATAGCAGGTTTTCTCATAGAAGCAGGGGAGGATGTTAACTCAAAAGATTGTTATAAACGCACACCGTTACACTATGCTGCCATGTATAACAGTGCAGAAGCAACAAAAGTCCTCCTTGACAAAAAAGCAGATATCTATGCATGGGATTTTCTTCGTAACACCCCTTTACAACTTGCAATTGCAAGAGACAGCCTAAAAGTTGCAAAGCTTCTAACAGATGAAAGTAAAGATCGATCACTTAGGTACAAAAAAGAAAACGATATTGATCTGTTCGTTATGTCAGTTGCAGTTATAGGATTTGTGGTAACACTAGGCTCACTGATATATGCCGCACCGTCTGCGATCGAAGAAGAAGCATGTCTACTCATCTTTGGCATAGTTTTAGCATCACTGGCTAGTGCTGCTGTATTTGGTGGTATTACCTATGGAATTGCATATATATGGTCAAAACATGAACTTAGTAGCACATTAAAGGAAGTAAAACTAAATGATCACTCTCAGTCACAACAACCAACTAAGTAAACTTTAGTTGATTAATTTTTTAATATATGTTACTATAATAACAATATATTTTAATGAGAGCTACAATGACACAATACATAAATATGACCGCAAAGGATCCGAATGAGAAAGGCATAAGACCTTCTGCGAAACAAAGAAATAAACGTCAAATTCTCTTTGGGGGGTATAAAAACCTATCCCATGTGTGACTTTGCTTCTCTACAACGCTCTAAACAAGAAAATTTTTAAAAAATACGAAGAGAAATCTTCCAAGCTAAGTTTCACGTTTTGCAGAAGGTCTATAGATAAAAGACTAATAAATACTGTAGAAAAGCTAAAAATACTCAATAGCAACAAAGATCTAAATGAGAAGAATGTGATTGAATTGATGAGTGAATTTGTACCTCTCATTACGAAATCATCAAATGTGAACTACCAGTACAATGATTCTATAGCTTTTGGCCTTTACACATTTCCTGCATTTTGTACTTTGTTACATATAGCAGCCAGATTTAACTGTCCTAGATTAGTAGATTATCTGACAAAAGCAGGAGCAGATCCTAACTTACAAGATAGATCATTGTGCACTCCTTTACATTATGCTGCTATAAATGGTAATATAGCAGTAGTAGAAGTCCTCACTGACAATAGAGCAGATGTCAATGTACCTAATCAATGGAAAAAAACTCCATTACAATATGCACTTGAAGAAGGCCATCTAAAAATTGCAGAGCTTCTGATAAGGAAAGGCGCAGATCGAAAATGTGTTCCGGCATACATTAATAAAAGATCCCAAGAGAAAGGTAAAGTACCTGCTTTCATTGTGGCAGGCATATCAGCTATTGTAACTCAACAAGTCCTTTTTCATAACACTGAATTATCTAAATATCCAATAATTGGGGCAAGTATAGCATCTATGATTTTAGCGGGTGGTATTGCTTATGGAATCGCATATATGTGGTCAAAACATGTACTTAGTAGTACATTAGATAAAGTAAAAGTAGATGATGGATTCTCAGCTGAGAAATTTAAGTTATATATTGATTAAGATGAGACAACACCTTTTTTAAAACCAGTTTAATCTAGTTTTTTTCTGCTATTAACCTCACTGCTGCTACGTAGCATTTATGTTCTTCAGCTAAAATACGTTCTGAAAGGCTCTGAACCTCTACCTGAAATTAATATTCCTAGTTTCACTAAAACCTCAAATAATGAATGACTTTAACATATTTAAGAAAAATTTAAAATAGATAGTTGTTTAGTTTTTTCCTTCCTTGAGATCATATAAAGATTCTAATGTTAAACCTTCAATCTTAGTGCTATTTTTATCAGCATTAGATTCATACATAGCATAAGCGGCCAGCATAGTACAAACAATTGCAAACACCACGATAGTGGTCAATATTCTAAAACAGTCATTGATAACACCTTTTATAGTTGCTCGTCTTTTAATAATTGCAATTAAAGCATCTCTTGCATTTCTATCAGCAATCTGCACAGAAGTTTTGCCACTTTCATCTTGTACATTAATATTCGCTCCTTTGTTTATTAGAATGTTTACTATATCAACTTTGTCATTTTTGGCGGCAAGATGTAAAGGCGTTCTGCCATTTTTATCTCTTGCATTAAGATCAGCTCTTTTACTTATTAGAGCTTTTATTGTGCCTGCATTGCCATTTTCAGCAGCAAGATGCAAAGGTATCCTTTCATCTTTATCTCTTGCATTAAGATCAGCTCCTCTCTCAATTAGAACTTCTATTGTACCTGCGTTGCCACTTTCGGCAGCAAGATGCAACGGTATCTTGTCATCTTTATCTATTACATTAATATAATCCCCTTTATCCATTAGAATTTCTACTATATCTGCATTGCCATTTCCAGCGGCAAAATGTAAAGGCGTTCTGCCATTTTTATCTCTTGCATTAAGATCAGCTTCTTCGTCCATGAGAATTTTTACTGCATCTATTTTGTTCCTTTCGGCGGCAAGATGTAACGGCGTCTTGCCGTCTTTATCTCTGGCATTAAGATCAGCCCCTTTGTCTATGAGAACTTTTATTGCACCTACTGTGTCTTTTTCAGAAGCAAGATGTAAAAGAGTTTTATCATCTTTATCTCTTGCGTTAATTTGTATCTCCCCTGCCCTTAAAATACTATCTATTACTTCCTTGTTTATACAGAAAACAGCTGCATATAAAGCATTCCAAGAGTACAATTCACCTGCTGGATGAATCTTGCCACCTTTTACCTCTAAAGCGCTTGTTAAATTTTTTAGATTATTGTTAATAGCCAAGCGCAATAATGTCTGTTTGTAAATTTTTTTTTCAGGTGAATCAGAATTATAAACAACACGAAATGGATAATTTATATGAAAGCCATTTTTTTGCCACTTTTCATATACATTCGGGTATTCTACCCTTAATTTTTCTTTTATTTTTTCAATAACGTTAGCTTCATCTAAACTTTCACCATCATCGTTTACAGCAATTAATATTTCTCTCCACTGTTCATAGTCCATAATTAGAGCCCTCTCACCAAATTATAATAATACCCTAGTTGTTATATATATAAAGTCAACTAAAACTTCTTTTGCAACTGATGGCAGACCCAATTCTATCTTAGATTTAGAAAAAGAGATATTAATACAACTTAAACCAGAAAATTGTTGACTTTATCATAAAAATATTATATATTTAATTAATATCTTAATAATTGTGGAGTAAATTATGTTTTATGGAAAAAAAACTGCTTTACATTATGCTGCTGAAAAGGGTCGGATAAGAGCAGTCAAGGATCTAGGCTCTGTGAACAAAATTATTCTGTGAGAAAAAAAAGATAGAAGAAAGAAGGAAAAAGCGGTAATTTCACCTAATTAAACAAAAAAATGGAGAAACTACCGAATGGAATATTATATACAAGAAAGAAAATGGAAGCAAATTTTTACATTTCTGAAAAGCATCAAGGGAATACACAGCAAAGATGAAGACAGATTGAGAAGATTTATGGAAGCAATATGGTATATAGCACGAAGTGGCTGCCAATGGCGNGCTGCTGAAAAGGGTCGGATAAGAGCAGTCAAGGATCTAGTAGAAAAAAAAGGTGCAAATGTTAATGCTAAAGATGAATATGGATACACTGCTTTACATGAGGCTGCTGAAGAGAATCAGATGGAGGTAGTAAAGTTTCTAGTAGCAAACGGTGCAGATGTTAATGCTAGAAATAACGAAGGAATAACTCCTTTACGGGATGTTGCTTATGAAGGTCATAAAGAAATAGCAGAGTTTCTAGTAGCAAACGGTGCAAAGGTTAATGTTGCAGATAACAAGAAAGTAACTCCTTTGCATATGGCTGCTTATGAAGGTCATGAAGAGATAGTAAAGCTTCTAGTAGCAAATGGTGCAGATTCTAATGCTGCAGATAAAGATGGAGACACTCCTTTACATCTGGCTACTAAAAATGGTCATAAATGGATAGCAGAGTTTCTAGTAGCAAACGGTGCGAAGGTTATCACTCACGTGGATGACACAAAAATTGCTCAGCAGGCAGGGGCAAGTAAGAGTATGTAATTTTATGTGTATCGATGGCAGTTTTGTTGTCGATACACTCCTTCCATAAACCGAGCTTGAACGCAGACTATCATGTGTG